GATCCACTCACCCATGCATAATTCAATACTATTAAGAAAGACTGGATGCCTCCAGACGTAAACAACATGATGGCTGACCGTAGTCTCCCTGTCCTAAGTAAACTGTCAGAATGGAATAGCCCCTCCCCCAACCCAATTAACAAAAAGCTTTCACCTTCGCCATAGCACCCTTTTATTCCACAAGTTTTAAGATATATTTAGTGCAATAACTTCATCAGATAAAATTACCCAACTATTGACAATGTGAGTTAAAAATGGCAATATGCATATACATACGTGGAGCATTGCCAACTCGACTAGAAGTGGTTTTCTTGATTGTTCCTGTACTAGGCCGTGGCTTTGAACGAGTAGCAGTGGACACCTAAAAAGAAAAAAAATTATTATTAAACTCCATATTTTTGATATAGGTTTGTTCGAACAAAAAAGAAATGAAAGAATTAGTGATGGTAAAGGAGAGAATACACAAAATGCAAACTGTTTAGAACTTTGTAAAAAATTACAAATTCAGAAAAAAAAACATTTTAAAGGTTTTGACTGAAATATAATTTTGATGAGCTGAAAAAACAATTCCATTTCAAATGTTTCAGCCACAAAAATAAAATCAATTTTAGTCAAAGTATTCAATTTTTAATAAAAGACAAGTCACCTGACACCTTTAAATTGTGTTAACCTGATTCTTTTATAAATTCCATAATTTATAATTAATAAAACAAATAAAAATAAAGCAATGCAAAATAAAATATAAAGCATTCTGTTTGTGTTTGTGAATGTGACCTTTTACCCTGATCACCATGTTATGGGAATGAGACTAGGATTGGTTACTATTGTTACCAAGCAACTGACGTGCTGAACAGCTTTCAACTTTGACCTCACCTCATTGAATCGGTTAACTGCATTAACTCTAGTTTTCCATCTACCTGAGCGCCACTGAGCATAAGTAGGAAGGTAGCAAATAAGTAGGAACAAAAATTAAAAGAATATAAAAATAATTGAAACATGCTATTTGAGAGCTATCTACAGGGAGTTTTGGGAGGGATTTGTTATGGAAACAATTTAGATTGTTTAATGCTTTACAAAGCATTCATTTTCTAATAAAATGTTATTAATATAGGGATTGGTAGTAAATGAATGGTTTTTGGCCAATAGGCGATATTCCGATCACTGTTAGATCTTGAGTATTGCGTGAAAGGCGAATATCGAATGTCTGTTAGTTTAGAAACTTTCAGAGGAAATCATGGCATTGAAATCCCCTAATTCCATCGAAAGTGCATATTAAAGGTCGGTGAACATCACACCACTTCCTGTTTGATATGGAACTCATAACGTATCCAACTGTAAAATACATGGTTTGTTTACATGAAATTCAAACACGCACAGTGTGACAACCACAGACCTTTAAGCATAGAAATACCCACCAAAATACATTCGTATTTGTCAAAATCCCATGCGATGTTTTGACGAAACTCAGAAATTATGACCTTCGTTTGTCCTGTTTTTCATATTTGATTTCACACATAAAACTAGATCTCGCAATGAACAGAAAATGGTCTATTACTGGCAGGCTACCATTATATTAAGATATTTATAAGAGCAAAACAATAAAACATATAAACTAAAATTGTCCATAACATGTTTGGTATCTATTATCGATATTAAAAGTGTGGAAGTAAAGTGACCCTTGACATTCGACCTCTCACCTCAAGGAACTTTCCAACAGCTCTGATTTTTGCTCTTCTCTAACAGTGCAGAGTGGCAGTGAAAAATGAATGATTGAGTGAATGGGACAGTGTGACAATGGATGAATAATTTAAATGTCTAGTATACGCTCTAATTCACAACGAGTTGGAATTGACTGACCATGACTGAGTCATATAACTGATTTCCTACCAAAAAAACACCTGCCCAATATTTGCAGAATTTTAGTTATTCTAGAGGAGATTTGGAACACCAAATTTAATTGTTCCTACTAGTAGGTTTATTTGTTAAACATGAACATGGAGCAAAATAATGAATTCGTTAGACCTGAAAACACTTAAAATATTCAAATGAAAATAACCAAGATGAGTGGCTTGTTATCATACGTTCCAGAAACCTTGAATCCCTTTGAAATATATTAAAATTTGTTGTTTCTATTTCAATTTGTCATTGAATCAATTTTTCAAATGCTAGTCGATTAGTAGGTCAGTAATAGAATGAATTATTTATAGAAAATGAAGAAAAAGCATGAAGTTTTTCTGGTTAGTATTAGACTGATGCAAAAACATATATCTCAGCACGCAGTAAAAGACATAGCCTGCCGATGCCATCATATCCCCTTCATATCCACTATCAGTGGAGACTTCCAGCTGACGATGTCTTTACAGTAATTAGTATGACAATGACAACTATGTATTAGAAAATATGGGGTTTAGAGGTGACTTCAGAGCGAATTCATGTCGTAGTCGATAAACATGTTACTGTGTGATGACATAATAGAATAGTTGATCACATGACCAATCGTAACTACTGACAAGCCACATAATCTTTTGAACAATAACATCCTGAAACTGAGTAAGATAAAGGTCATAGGTTATAGAAGGACTTGATACCATAGCAACCAAGTATGACTACACAATGAGCAGACATTTGGACTCCATACTGTATTCACTCAGAAGAAAACTATGTAATAAATCACAGTAATACATCTATCTTACCCTTGCAGAGTCAACTTCATCTTGACCTGGAGATTTGACTCCTGAAAAAAGAAAAAAAAAAGAATAACATTAGATTGACAAGTTTGATTGGTAAGAGTTCCTCAGGGCAGTCTCACCCCAGCCCTCCAGTTCCCCTCCCTTATCTTAATTGTATTCGCCCATTGTCAGGACACATATATACAATTACAACAAGGTAAAACATAGGGAATACAACATTGAAAACAATGTGGTGTGATGACATAACGTGCAGGTTGAACAAGTCTAGAAAATAAAAGTCAAATTAAGGTAGAGATGCACTTTATTTGTGAATTTCAATCAAAAATAGTTTTTTTCGTTTTTTATATAGATTTTTATCTAAAGAACATTCTGTGAAAATTT